GACAGTACAAGCATTAATGCATGTAAGGCTTTGTTACAGGAAATACATGAGCAAGCAAAAACAGGAGCTGTAGTATGTTCATCTCTTCCTTTTTTATTTAGGTAGCCTTGATAGCACGTCCCAGTGGTCAGTTATTCTGTGGGGGCTCCATTCTCAGCGAACGGTGGGTTATCACTGCTGCTCATTGCCTGGTGGAAGCACAAGGCTCCTTCTTTGTCAGAGTAGGTAAGGTTCACTGCCACAATGAATGCAATCACTCTTGATGTCATGTAGTTTATCCCACTGTTTGCCATCTGCTTTGAGACAAACACTGCATGTGTTATATTGTGGAGTAAATGAGGACATTGAATGAGTGATATCTGTATCTCATATCTCTGCCTGCAGGGGACCATAACATCTACCTCCACGAGGACACTGAGCAGGATTATGAGGTGTTGAAGCAGCACATACACCCACGCTACAACAGCACTGTGAGCTTATACAACCATGACATCGCCTTGCTGTACTTAAAGAGCGCCATCACTTTCTCTGCAAGAGTCCGACCCATCTGCATCGGGCCCATGGCTTTCACTGAGGCCCTAGTGAAGGACTCCTCCCCAGCCACGGTCAGCGGCTGGGGTCGAACGCGCTTCCTTGGATTCACGGCCGACTCTTTGCAGAAGGTGGCGGTTCCCTTCACAGATCGGACAGAGTGCAAGCGGAGCAGCAGTTCAAGGATCACTCCCTTCATGTTTTGCGCAGGATACTACGACGAGGCCAAAGATGCCTGTCAGGGGGACAGTGGAGGTCCTCACGCAAACAAATTTTATGACACTTGGTTCCTTACGGGCATTGTGAGCTGGGGGGAAGAATGTGCAAAGCAGGGGAAATATGGTGTGTACACACGGCTGTCCCTTTATTACCGCTGGATAAACCATATTATGGGATTAACTAAACACAGGCTGGCATTTGATGTGGAAGAACCTGACCCTGAAACTTAAAGGTTATAGATTTTAAGAATATAAATGGTATACAAATGTTCCTTTTATTGTTTGATACTCTTAACTTCACAGGATATGAGGGGATACTTTCATGATTTGATATGTCCTTTTGTACTCTATTAACCAAATAATAAGAAATAAATCACATCAAATTCACATCACATCAACAGTGTACTGACTGTGAACAGTTACATCAAAACCAGGGTGTCTGCAGGTATCAGACACTTAAATTTCTTTTTAAGCATTGTGGGTTTAGTTTAAAGGTAAGTAGTATATATTTTTGGCCCATGCTGAGGTAGTTTTAATGTAGGAATATAGTTATTAGAGAGAGTTACGTGAATGTATTTCAGTCAGGAACACTTCAGTAAAAAAAAACTTCGATTTGCAGTATTATATTTGGCGGTATGGCTCTGTTCTTCGGTCTCTCTGCCTTTCCTCAGACCTACATAGTAAGCCTCTTCCACGCACCTAAGTGAAAAGCCTAAGGCGGAGAGAGCACACCTATCTGCTCTTCCACATGCAAACAAGGAAAGCCTAAGGCAGGGGAAGCAAACCTCCCTGCCCTTCCATGCACCTACATGGAAAGTCTAAGGCAAAGAAAGCACACTTCTCTGCCCTCCCACGTGCAAATGAGGAAAGCCGAGGGCAGGGAGAGCAAACCTCCCTGCCCTTCCATGTGCCTAAATGGAAAGCCTAAGGCAAAGAAAGCACATCTCTCTGCTCTTCCACATGCAAACAAGGAAAGCCTAAGGCAGGGGAAGCAAACCTTGTAGGAAAAGAGCAAGCACTCTCAAAATAAATCCCCTCGAAAGGTGCACGGCCAAAAAACAGCGACAAAGGGAAAAATGCCAGCACTCACAAATGGGAGCAAACCTCCCCGCCCATCCATGTGCCTAAATGGAAAGCCTACAGCAAAGAAGGCACACCTCCCTGCCCTTCCGCGTGCAAACGAGGAAAGCCTAAGGCAGAGAGAGCAAACCTCCTTGCCCTTCTATGAGCCTACACTGAAAGCTGAAGGCAGGGAGAGCACACCTCCCTGCCCTTCCATGTGCAAATGGGGAAAGCCTAAGGCAGAGAGAGCAAACCTCCCTGCCCTTCAGAACAGAGCCAACATCAATGACAAACAGAAATGACATTGGTAAGTCAGACACAACATGAAAAGGAGCTGGGGTGGAGGCGGGTTGTAAAGCGGCTTGCAGAGGAAGCAGCAACAGTAGGCAGGTCAAAGCAGTTTAAATGGATATCTAAAATTAAATTGTTATGGTATTTAAGACCTCACAAATTAATTAAGACAGTTTATTCAGTTTTAAGGTCTAAAGTTTATATATTCAAATTTCAGACATTTGAAGACCTGCAGACACCCTAATCAAAACACATCACTCCCATCTGCTGGTAAATAAATGTTTTACAAGTGGTAATAGTGGTACTCAGTAGTATAAAAAAGGATCTTTGGAAATCCAGGCTTCAAATGTGACCAAAAACTCACAGAAAAGAGAAAAGTCTGCACAGTTTTATTATTTCAGTTGGCTTCCATTAAAACAAGAATACAGAACCAATAGATTAAATCAGGGTGCATGAAAAAGAGCAGCCTTAGTGTTCAGGTGATCACCGTGTTAAAACAAGAACTGAATTATTTAAATTACCAAAACAATTATTGCAATAAATAGTTTATTTTTTTGCAGAACTGAAGCTGTACAAAAACAAGCCAGTTTAGAACAGTGACTGTCGGGCAATACAAACCTGCTCAGTGTTCAGTTGCCATGCATTTTTATCTTAAAGAAACATTCAGCAACAAGCTCAGGCTACTTGGCTCATCAGGATACTTAATATTTCAAGCAGTTTTTTTTTGTTTTCCAACCTGGAAAATCTGTGCAAAATCTGCAGCATTTTGGATTAAAGTGACAAAGGAACCATCTGATTTTTGTCATTTAAGCTAAAAAAGAAATAAAATGGGGGTTTTTAATGTGCATTGTAGCATAGCTCCCATAAATATATGGAGATGTAATTTCATTGGGAGCTGCGCACATACCTCACAATATGAAGGAACAACATGACAGCAAAATAAATAAACAACATAGGAAATGTGTAGTGCAGAGCAGCCCCTGCTGCTTTCTCGACTCATTTCCATATCAAACACAGCGAATCAAAGGCAGCCCTCCGACCGCGGCCTCGATTTGATGTGGTAAATTCATATAAGTCTGCAATCAATATTTAATTAAGCGTTCGACACAGAGGGTGTATTTCATGTTGGCTGTATGATCCCTTTTAATGGGGAGCCCGAGATTAACTGAGCTGTAATGGTGAGGAGGAAACAATCTGCCTCTGTGATGGAGCGGTACACGGAGCATAATCTCCCCCTCTCTATTGCTCTCTGCCTGCCTTTCTTTGACTCTGCCTACCTCTTCCTTCTGTACGCTGCACTCTGAAGCACACACCGAGGAATACACTGCCATCAATCTTCATGTCCGCCAGTGTCTTACATTACCATCACTGACATGTCAACTGCTGCCTGCATGCAGGGGGTATGTCTCCCCTGCCTCCCTAACACATCATACATTCAAGGATAAACAAAGGAAACAACAGCATGAATAAGAGGAGCTACACAGTAAGAGAGGTAAAGCGGCAAGGAAAGCACACATTCAGTAGACAAAAGGTGGGGGTTTCTTTGTCTCTCCTGTCCATCCACCTTATTAAAGTGCCTGTTGAATATTTGTGAGGTCAGGTTAAAGCAATAACAGAGTATTTGATTTTGCAAACAGTACATACTGGAGACTCTAAAAGAGCATGGAATAAAAAAGGCATTATGGCATGGCACATTTTGGCATTCTAACTCGTAGACTTTACAGAAGAGTGGTGCCTGGAGCAATGAAATGTAAGAAAAATACAATAAAGTCGTTCAATGGAAAAAACATCAACTAACAAAGATGAAACATTGACGTACAATAAATGTTAAAAATGATACTGTGTATGTACAAAAGTCTTTGCTTTAAGAAATGTTTCAGGCAAATCCTGGGCCATCCATCCAGCACACACTAGACAAACAGGAACACACATTCGGAGAAACCAGAGTCTTGAATACTAGCTGGAATGAGGGTTGAAAAATGTTTCCACAGATTGTGTAATGATGACCTGCTGCAGCAGCGGCCTCACATCCTGACTTTATGTGTGTTACAGATGGAAGATTCTCCTCACCAATCAAAAAAGAAGAATGCCAATCAGAGTCCTCGCATCGGCTGTTGATTGTCCAAGAGGGCTAAACAGTTCCTGAGCCGTCACTATCAGAAAACACTGTCCTAGTAGATCATCAATCATGACCTGGAGGAAAATCAGGTCCCTATATTCCCACTTTTTTCTCTTTTATGATTGATCTGTGCTGGAGAAAAAAAGTCACCGGGGAGGGAGGAGTGGGTGGCTGATCAGTCACAAAACAGCTATGGCTCACCCTGTTCCTTCTGTCTGCTCATCATCCACGGGGAAGTATTAGATTCACAGTCTGTGCTTTCTTCTCTACGGGGAGCTGAGTTTCCTGGCCTTCAGGTTTCCTGCGTCTACAAGAAAATACACAGGCTTTTAAAAAGGAAATCAAAGTAAAGAAACACTATGGCTCAACATTCTATTGTCATTTTGGAAGTCTAGGTATTTTCTTTACCCCCTAGCCTGGAGGAGTGTCCTCGACTGCTGTCTCCTAGAATCAGCTGCAGGCTGGCAGCAGCTATGAAGCCCTCCTGTCGCCGACTCAGGTTTTTCACCAGCCTGAAGGATAAAGAGTCAGGAAAGGGTGAAAACAAAAGCGGGGGGAGAAATTGGATAAATAAACTTCTTACCAGGTTGAGCTTTACATTTGCTTTTACATTTTTGGCAGGGCTTCAGTTTCTAGCTCAAAAACACACCATAAAGCTACTTGTGTCAAATGTTGTGCCCTGTCACATATAGGATAGTTTGGCTGATCACTAAATCACCCCGACTGACAGGTTCACTTCACATCATGTGTGTTGACAGGCGGAAGACTCACCAGCGGCCCTTGTTGTCTTCACACTGCAGTTGAATCACGTCTCCACATTTGATGGTGATGCTGTCTGGTCCATTTTGAAGACAGTCAGCCAAAGCCCTGTATCTGCCTGGAGACTAACACAAAAGGAAAACTGTCAGGAACAAAGTAAGTAAAGATTTATTTATATACTGAAGACTCGATACAGAACTTTTCAAAGCTAAAGTTATGAAGTTCCTCAAAATAAAGGTAATAAAGCACAAAATATCAAAGAGGAATTATAATAGAATTAAAACAGACAAATAATAGAAAAACATGAGGGGCAAAACATCAGCTCAGAAAAGTGTCAAAATCAAGTATTCAAATTGAATTGGATAGCCTGGTGGTAAGAGATAACGTATTCCAAGGTTTAGACAAAATTAAAAAACAGCAAATGCATGCTTTCTTCATTTGAAGCCAGGAACATCCTGTAGATGTTAGTTTGCAGACCTGAGAGACTTTAAAGAAGTATATGGACACAACAACTCAGAAATATACAGTAGATAGACAATGAGGAAAGACCAACACGGAAGGAAAGACATAATTTCAGGCAGGAACCTGAAAGAACTACAGTAATCTAGGTGTGAAAACACAAAAGTAGGAGTGGGCGATATATCAATTATTGACTATTATAAGCACTAATGTGACTTTGAAAATTATCAATACATTAGTTTCTATATACAGACTCTACATTCAGTGAATGTAGAGTCTGTAGGCAAACCCCGGAGATCTTGCCTCTGGGAGAAGAGCGGAAGAGCCCTGGTTTCCAGTTGTAGCCTGTTTGTAGTCCGCGTTAAACAGCCAGGTTAAATGGTCCATGCAGTGAACTAACGAGGCGGAACATAATTGGCGTCGCTGCAAACTCTGAATCCATCGCAATGGTTCAGCATATTTACTTAAATATAAATGGAAGTCGGAAACGGAAATTCGCCTCCTCTGCCCAAATCAAACCGGAATGCCAAAAAATCGGGCGTCTGCCCCCCGAGGCTGTATCACAGTCTGCCGGAAGTCAGACGCTGAATACAGCCGATGGGTTCCGAGAATGTTAATACATAATCTGGATAGCTGTTTGTTTGTTTTCTGTTCACAGCGAATAAATCCTTAAGTTTATTTATTCAATGTTTATTTGTATAGGGACAAGTATATAGCATCACTGTAACGGTTTAACCATCTGATAACTGCTAACATCTAACTGTTGATCAAACGAAAACACCAGTGGTTCTGCTTTGATTCAATTTATTATAATATTACTTAATTCAGATTTATTATAACAGTACTTTTATTTAACTTTATCACAGCAGTGCTTTATGTTACATTGCAATAATATGTATTGGTCATATCGCCCAGCCCTACACATGAGCATTATCTAATTCTTCAGGACTGTCAAATGAAAGAAGACGTCTGATGTCTTTGCCTGTTTATCATTGACTATTGCCCCTGTAACAAAAAATAAATCCAAAGTTAGGAATATGAAATCGTCGAAGAGAAAGATTGCAAAGAGAAGAAGGATGTCTGATGCCTTCTTATATACTGTCGGGTCAGTCTGCACGTATTCAGGTAGGCACGTCCTGATTGGCTGACTATGTTTATGCATTTGATTAGAGGAGTATTACCCAAAGAGTCCAGTAGAGGGCAGAGCCTGTGTGAGACAGAACTCTGGATAAGTGTATAGTTAAATATTACAAGTCAGCACGGCCCCCTGTTTATGTTCTGTTAAAGAGGCTCTATGCAAAATTCAGAGTGTATTATTTGTCTGGACATGGAGGGGGCTGAGCTGTACTCCATAAACAGTGCTAAACAACGACAACAGTGCTGACAGAGCTAACGGTGTTAATCAGAGAGGAACTGGACGGTTGGAGCTACACCTCTGCATTGATGCTATTCCAATGTAAGCGTTAACTGCTGTATGAGCATAGTGCAAAGCAGCAGCAATGAGCTACCCAGTGAGATCCACACATGCACTAACACAGTGGTTCCCAACTGGTCCAGCCCCAGGGTCCAGATTTCTCCTTAGTCATTAATTCAAGGTCCACACAGTTTAAAATATTCTGTGTCATACTTTTGTTAGTGTTTTATTGCAGTGTATCTTATGTGGCTGCATTTGCTCTCACCAGTTGCACCAAAACCTCCTCCTCCTCCGTGTCAGATGGGTGGAAAGCGTCCCGACCTCCAGACCACTCCTCCAGACCCTCGCAGATGTCTACCGAGTGATGAGCTCCGGGCCAACCTGTGACAATCACACATCACTCAGGCTGTTGCAGGTAACAATGAATGCATTTATCCAAACGCTACAACTAAAAGGCACCATGTAGATACTTAGTAACTGTATCGACATTATAAAGACCTCTTTGTCACTTACTGGGAAATTAACAAGAACGTAGAATCAAAAGTTAATCTCAGTAGTTGGACCTTTTTCCCCAAAATTCCTCGATGTACCTGGTTCTTCAGGTCAAAGTACACCTGAACTGCTGAGGGGGGGAAAAGTCAAATATCTACATCAGTTAGAGATTATGAAGAAAATCAGCAACAGCAGTGCAAAACTGTGTAAAGCAAGAATGATTTGCATCAACTCCCAAAGCATTTTTTGTGATTTAGTTACTAAGTATCTACTTGATTGCGGCATAAATGTGTGTAGACAAGATTTACTCACTCCTGCGGTTGTGCTGGTGTTTAGGGGAGTGAGGCTGGGGGTCTGGACTGCTCCTCCCCGACTCATTGTCCTCTGAGCTCACCGACGCCCTCTGCTGCTTGCTGGGGGGAACAAAACAAAACACCAAATGTCAGTAAATGTTTAACACAGTCAGCAGACACACTCAGGATAGACGTTATCCACAGTCACGCAATCTCGGGTCTGCTGTCGCTTCCTGAATCCAATCCATATACCTCCAAGAGTATAGCTGACCCCAGATGAGTGTCAAGGAACAACTCTGTCCTGTTGTTTCTCATACAGCCATGACCATTCAGGTGACAGCCACACAGCAGCACACAACACAGATCAGCCATGTGCAAGCTTCTCTGTAAGAGTTGGAAGTAGGACTCACAGACCACCAACGCAGTGTTCACATAGGGTGTCAACATAAGGGAAGATCTGGTCTCGGTTTATCAAGATCCAAATTTTGAGATTTGGTCATTCTATGTTTAGATGATGAGGAAGGTTTCTGGATTTCAAATTCTACAGTATTCTGATTAGATCTCAAAAAACGAGCCCCATCTTAAAAACACAGCTGTCATGAGTAAATTAGAAAAATTCATGGAATGAAAACCAAAACTCTTCTTTTTGTTTGCTCTTTTCATTACATGCAAAACAGCTGAGATGCAGAAATGAGAACAATATTTGTATACAATGTTAGAGATGCCATGGAGAAGCTGCTGAGACACAGGCCTTTCAACACGGCAGGGGAGTGTGACGGTCAGTTATGAACCAGAATGGAGGTTATAAAAAGGGGAAGCAGGTGACGATCAGTATGCAAACACAGCAGCCCTGGGTTTTTAGTCCCCAAGCCGGGCCAGGTGGATCATGCCAGGCGAGGTGAGCCAGGCTGAGTTTACCACTGAGCGTTAGGGCAGGTCAGTGGCGCTGGGGGCGGTGGCGGGGGCGCGGCCGGGGCCGTTGCCGGGGGCTTCTGGGACGGGGGCTCCGGGAACGCAGGCACAGAAACACGTCAGCCGACAGCGAGACAAAGTCCAGCCCCGGCAGACAGCCCCTGGGTACCCCTCTGGACGGCCGCATGCCCCTGCAGGTGGGGGATGGGAGGAGTGGGGATAGGCAACCAGACAGCAGTGGACAGAGTGGGGCCTGCGCCCGTTCTCACACACCACTAACACACAAAGCTTCAACGTGGGCAACGTGAAATGATATCGACTCATTCACTCAAGCTGTGATCAGATGTGAAAACTCAGCAAATGCAGATAGTAGTGCTGTGGCTGCATGTGTGTGTTTTGAATTTGCCTGTGTGTGTTTGTGTGTATGTGCAGCTACGGCCTACAGTCATGCACCTACTGTAACACACTGCTGTAAACACTGGATCTGTAAACAACCAGTAAACACTGACCTCTCAGAGAGCGGAGGTGGAGAAAGCTGCATGTGTCCGACCATTTGGCCATGTTGATATGCTTCATCTGGGAGAAGAGAGAGGAGGTCATGAATTTTGTTTTTATTTTGTACCAACACAGAGTGTAATATGTTTTTTTGTATTTTTCACTTTCTTTCTTTCCAACACAGAACATTAATTTCAACTTTAGAATTACAACAATATTTAGCAAGTAGAACGAGATGTGCTTTCTGACCACCAGATGGCGCTATTTTCACCATCTTTAGAAATTGGAATTACTGCTGAGGCTGTCAGACGATAGACTTTTTTATTATTTTTTCCACTTTGCTTTAACCGATCACCACCAAAATTTTATCATCTGTTCCTTGTCCCATTATCCACCTTTCCTGAAAATTTCATCAAAATCCGTTCCTAACTTATTGAGTTATTTTGCAGACAAACAGACCAACGCCGGTGAAAACATAACCTCCTTGGTGGAGGTAACAAATGTCGCTCCTGGGTCAGTAACCATATTTAGCTCTTTTGGAAACAGTAAAACAGCACAAACCTCCACTTACAAGTTTCAGAGCTTCCAACCACATCTCATGCTCTCCTGGGCCATGTGATGCAGTTTAAAGCTCAAAAGCTAAGAAGTGGAGCCTGCATTTAGAGATTATCTGTCCAACATTAACTTGAGATGTCCACAGACCTCTGAGCAGCTTCTGCTGGTTGGTCAGGATCCTGCGAAGCTCATTGAGCCAGGCCATCTTCACCTCCACTGTAGGAGCCTGAGAGACAAAAGAAATATTACAACAGACGGTCAGTGGATTACAACAGTTAAACATTTCTTTTGTTTAACCTCTGTTTATAGTTGCACAATTAATCATTCATCTGTAGTTAAAAAAAAAAAAATCAGAATTTCCCAGAGTCCAAAAAACCAACAGCCACAAACCAAAAGATTTTATTGTAAAAGAGGACTAAGGAAACAGCTTATTCACAATTGAGAACAGGAAACGAGTATTAAAGCAATACTTTCTCCCCCAAATGACCATTTGTATATCAATCACTCACCTGTCTTATGTTAAATTTGTGAAGAAAACGTATTTCTTGCATGCCTCAGGTGAACAAACGATCCAAAAATGGAGAAAATTCTTGATAAAACAGAGGAAACAACAGCAAAACTGTATGAAAACAGCTGTTTACAATCTCTCATACAGTTCTTGCAGTGTAGTCCAAGTCTCATTTATCCAGAATTTGGTCAGTTCTTCCCCAACAGACAGCTCTTTCCAATGGGAAACTAAACTAAAAGTGAAACTTATCTATACTCTCTTCAAAGCCAGACTCCATTGACAAAAACAGTAATTTTACCTCACTAAACACAGGAGCTGCTGGTCTACCACTGCCTCGATCAGTTAATCTGTTTGTGTTACTGTGTGATTTGGTGAATCCAAACTAACCCTTTAAAAACACAGAGGTCACACAGTAACACAAATTACTGATCAAGGCAGCAGTAGACCAGCAGCTCCTGTGTTCAGTGAGGTAAAATTACTGTTTTTGTCAATGGAATCTGGTAGTAAAGAGGGAGCAATGATTAGTTTCACTTTTAGTTCAGTTTCCTGTTGAAAAGGGCTGTAAGTTTGGAAAATACTGAGTATATATAAGACTTGGAATATTTTGCACAAGTTATGTGAGAGTTTGTTAACAGCTTTGCTAAATGTGGTAATGTATGACTTGTATTTATCAAGAATTCTCTCTGATTTTTGATTCTTTGTTGTCCAAATTTTGTTCATGAATTCAGCGTAACATGGTGTGATTTACTGACATACAAATGGTTATTTGGGAGATGAATTAGTCTTTTAATTATCAGAATTTATGCCAATTATTTTTTGCTGATTGACTAATAATTGCAGCTCTAGTTGAAAAAGTTTAAAACTACACTTCAACAAGAAATTATAGCAACGTACTGTATTTATCCAGCTTTAAACTTTTTACGACTCCTTACCTGAACCACATACACTTCCTCCCTGCCACTGTACCAGATCTCAAACTTTTTCACATCTCCCTTGACGTTCTCTGTGATCCCCACAGCAGTCATCTGCCAAGAGACATATACTGTTTACACCAACACACACACACACACACACACACACACACACACACACACACACACACACACAGCAGCATCACACGTCAGACTTACATCATGTAACACATCTGTCCTGTCAGAACACAAACACTCACACACACCTCCGCTGTGTGACTGCTTCCTCCCCACATCCTCAATAATAAATCAAGAGCAGCAGCAGCAGCAGCAGCTGTTGGTGTGACACCTGCTGCGACACCCTCCGCACATCAACACATACAACAAAAGAAGTCTTACAGGAATACAGCAGGTTCTGTGGCCAGCTGGGCAACTTACATGTGTTAAAAGATAACAACACAGACAGTGACATCAACAAGGTGTCTCCTGCAGATCAGTCACTCCATTACTTAGTGCTGAGACCTCAGTATGGATCATATCAGGGGTAATGTCAGGAGTAATGAGTGTTTATATGATGACCGTTACCCATTTGTTGTATTAAGTTATTAGTGTTACTGTAACAGTTTTTTTTTTTTTGGATGTGTCAAATAGGAAACCACCATCAGCTTTTATTCATAGTATTTTGTTTTAATGCTCAAAAGCACTTTCTTGTGTACTCGTGTGTGTTGTCTACACAATAAGTACCCCAAGTGAGCAGTAAATGGAGTTTTTTTTACTCTTAAATCAACATTGTGACAGGTGTAATGTTATATGACAAACATCAAATTCAGAAAAGTGCAATTCAGGACATGATGCCGATGTATTGAGTCCTGTATCGGCAATTCTACAGATCTACAGAGAAGAGGCATTAAATTTATTAATCTAAAAATAAGGCTGCAATTGCTAGTAAAATGTCTTAAATCCATTTTTCAAAAGTCTTAAAATTGCTAAGACATGGGAAGAAGGATTTTATAAATTGTTTCATTCTGAGGTTGCAATGTAAATTCTTAAAATAGTTGGTAACATCTACTTTATAAAGATGATTTATCTGCCCCTCACATTAATGTAACTCAGATTAGGAGAGCAGGAACCAACGTCACTCAGATTTTGTTTTCAGCTGGGTGCTCCGAGCAGATGATCCACTGTTTGCTAGCTAGCTGTCTCTGCACCCTGGACAACATGGGGGAAGTACTAATTCATGAAAATGCTATTTTAGATTTTGGGGCATGGCTTAAACCAGTACAAGGCAATGCATACGAGGCTCGGTGTTCATGCAAAACAACAAAACAAAACAAAAAAAAAACTCACACTGGAAATCAAGGCAGTACAATCCCACAGGCAGAGGGAGAGACACAGAATGACCAAGAGAACTTGTCAACAATTGCCAGACATTTCTCCCAAAAGTCTGTTTTGTGTTGCAGTAAATATCTGAGCAAAAGTGTCCCTGTCCATAAGTAAGTGATGTCAATATATGTTTTTTTTTTCCCCCTTAAATTTTGTTTTTTTGTAAAATTGTTCTCAAGTTTCATATCAAGTTGCAGCAGTGGAGTTTTAAAAAGTCTTAAATCTAACTGCACTCATTTAACACTCAGACACTCCAACATCATCGCAAGATGTAAACGTACTTTGATGAATAGCAAATAAAGACTGATTTCATTCACAGCAAGAAACTTTTACCCATGAAAGTGGCCTGTCATTAATAATCCTCATAATATTTTTATGAATTGTACCAACCTCCTACATAATATGACAATCTGCATTTAAAATAAAGACTTTGCTTTGCAGCTGCCACAAGGTGTCATTTTCTCACGCTTTAGACACCACAGGTCACTCTGTGTCGCTCAGTAAACATCTGTCAAAACACAACCTGCAACTGTCAAAATATGTTAGTTATGTATTTTAACCAGTGGTGGAAGAAGCAATTAGATCCTTTACTTAAGTAAAGTAGCAGCACCACAGTGTAAAAATACTCTGGTACAAGAGAAAGTCATGCATTCAAAATCTTACTGAAGTAGAAGAACATGGATTAGTGTCAAATATACTTAAAGTACCAACAATAAAAGTACTCATTCAGACTTGTATACATTATGTTACTGGGTGATGCATTAATGTGTTCATCACTTTAAAGTTGCAGCTGGTAAGGGTGGGGCTAATTGTAATTACTTTATATACTTCTTGCCTTTTTGGGGTGGAGAGTTTTTCCTTAACCGCTGTGAGGGTCCAGAGGGATGTTGTATGCTGTAAAACCCTCTGAGGCAAATTGTGATTTGTGATATTGGGCTTTATGAATAAAATTAAATTGAACTGAACTGAACTTTTGGGTAGCTTAACCTACTGTATTAAATAATACATTATAATTTAGTATTTTATTTCTACTAAATTTGCAAAGTAACTAAACTGTCAAATACAACAATATTTGCCTCCAGAATGTAATGAGTGTAAGTGTAAAGTAGCATACAATGAAAATATTCAAGTTATTCAAAGAATACGATACTTGAGTGATTGTACTTGGTTGTTTCACTACTGTTTTTAACCCACTGGCTGGTGTTTCAAAACGTATTCCTCTCAGACGCACACAAAGAAAGACACACACCAACCTTGAGACAGTGTTTGAAGCTGTATGAGGGGGTCTTGTCACAGCCGTCTCCGTGCTCCTCCCTCCTTTTACAGAAGAGCAGAGCTCTCTCATACAAGAAGAGGTGTCTCTGCATGGGCTTGAAGCGAGCCATCTCCTTCATGCGCGTGGGGCCTTTCTTATGGCTGATCCACACACTGAAAGAACCCTGCATCAACACGCGGCCCAGCTCGCAAATGTCACCCTGCGTAAAATGGGAAGAGGTTTTTATGTGTGTGAGATTTTGTTGTTAATATATTTCCTGCGCAAATCTAAGTTAGAGGACATTAATTTGAGTTCAGGAAATGAGAATGTTCACCTCATATCCTGTGATAGCTATCTGATGCATGGAGTCATTGACTGATTTAAGCAGGTCCAGCATGGCTGTCAGTGCCCCCTGAAGCTCTGACGTCCCCTCACAATCTGTGCTGTATTTCAGCAGCTCCTGAACGCACAAACAGAACAACAGACATGTTTGCAAAGACATGCACACACAAATTAATGTAAAACCACATGTAAATACAGCAGCTGAAACAGCACACTCTAGTGGTAAAGACTTATGTTAAATATCAGAGGTTAAAAATCTGAATCAATGGCTTCGGCATCCAATCTAACACATGTAGTGTTTGCAATTTCTGGTTTCCATTTGTAGTCTGAATAGTATTGATGAATCATGTCTGAGCAGCAGGTAAACAGTGGAGAGGTGGGACACATTGGCCGAGAACAAACTCGAAACCCATCGGCTGTCATCTGATCATATTAACTTAAAATTAGCTATTATAACATTTATCTGCATTCATATGTAGATATCTGTTTATGGAGATAAGCTGAAATGACCGGTCCGGGGGGAGGAAGTCCTGGCCCTGATATCTGTGTTGCCACACCAGATCTTCAGAGATATCGCCTGTTCCCCACAGAGGTTTATCGTCATCAGACTGATAGCCGATGGGTTCTGAGGCTGCCTTCTTTCTAACCTTAAGCAGCAGCTGGTATTTGGTGAGGCGCTGGACTGGTTTCAACAGGTAGGTCTCCAGGCCCAGTTTGTGCTCCAGCTTTTTTTGACACTCCTTCAAAGGGAAGACAAATACAGGCACAATGATGGGATTGTTTGTCACATCATAGCTTTTTAATTTGAACTGTAAAGTTGAAGTCACATTTGTTCCAACCTAGGGGTTTACACAGTTTAAAACAGTAGAAGTAAATACTGATTGAGGGGGGAATCACTGCAAAACTGACCTGAAAGAAGCCACAGTCTGAAAATTGTCTCCACAGCGCCTCAGAGCGTGGCTTATTCTGACAGTAGCATTCATACATTTGGAAACTTTCTTTCTGGGGGAGACAGGAAACAGAAGCCTCTTAGAAAAATATGGAAACAAATTGTATACAAATGATCAAAAATATAAAGAAGCTCCAAAACATGACGACATTTCTCATCTCACCCGCTCCAGGAAACAAGCTCCCACACTTTCAGGAGCCTCCAGGCATCCTTCCAGGTCCTGAAGGAAAACCCTGGATTCCCAGAAAGTTCAAAGTCAAGAATTAGATCTCACTCATTTTAACCCATACACTAACACGCATCAGCCTAATACAATAACTGACTGTTGGGGCCTTGGCCAGCGTCTGTTCTATACAGCTGTTATTTTCCAGTGTTTTGCATGTATGTAAAGTCTTTTTTATTTTATTTATATTATATTTTATTTATATTTATTATTATTTTTTGGCATTTGTAAAGTTAAGCCACACAACCAGTCCATGCAATAAATGATAAAGCTGGTTTATGTTTCTTCCCTTTCCCAAGAGAGCTGGTTGGTAACTGGCATGTACACAAAATCATGCTACAAAAAACACTGTAGCTATCAATGAATCTCTCTCAGTACTACACACTAATGTATTTTGCTCTAAAAATGATCCATGGACCTCAGCGGAAGGCACACTCTGTAGTTCAGAGTAGCAACTCCACTGTGTACTGTATATTTGGTATGTTAAAGGTGTTCTGTGGAGTTTTCTTACAGACAAATAAAAGTTATGTTGACATTCAGTGTCACTCACCAAAAACGTGTGTAATCTTAAGGTCTAACAAATGTGTTGAGTGCATTTCCTGCCTCGTAAAACGCTTGCAAAGCAGAGTTTTTATGGATGGTTGTTGTTTACAACCATTTTTACTATCTTAACATCATCTTTTCCAGGCCTCTACTGGGCACGCTGCATGTCTTAGTGTTTAACCGTCACCTGTAAATAGTGTGACAGCATTGTAGGACTAAGTAGTGAAAAGTGCAGTTCCTCAAAGCTAACACTTCCAAGTAAAAGCAAAAAATAATCCTAATTTAAAGCTCTAAATACTACTAAATCTGTCAGGCTGTGCACAGATTGACCACCCAATCGATATATTACTAACAGTAAAATAGCTGTATGCAACACTGCAGCAAATTTATTATTCAGAGTCGGGGGGGTTGGGGTGTCTGCACGCAGTTCTCAACATGGAAGTGGCAGCTGGCAGCTAACGGTGCTAACTCCATAAACAGTGCTAACAACAGCAACAGTGCTTACAGAGCTAATGAGGATTGGTAAGTTCAATCAGGAAGACTGTCTTTGTGCTATATCCATTCACAATTCTCTCTCTATCCCACTCCCACCACTTCCACCAGTCAGCTGACTATGGGTGTTCCCTCTCCTGGTTAGCCAATCACACTTTGCCATAATCCCCTTCAGCCATTCATGTTGCTGCTGCCGAACCTTAAATCTGTTCTCCTCTCTGCTCCTGTCAGCTGTCATTTTAGACATTTTTGACATGAGAAATGTCAAAAGTCATCGATTCCAGTCACCTTATCCAGAACCCAGGACCAGCTCATCAAACGCCCACTCCTCTTCACATCCAGCTCCCTCTTCATCTCCTCTCAACACCACCAGCTTCTAGACTCCATGACTTTTGACATTTATCATACTTATGTGCACATGTGAATAAATATTCTCTCAGAACAAGTCTCTCATGATTTAAATGTTGTTAACTAGAGGAGCAACAGGAGGGTGGGCGCTATGCCTCTCCAATGATGCCTTCAGATCGTTGCAGAGCAGCAGGAATTAGCTAGCCAGTGGGACACACTCACAGGGACTCACATGTTCATCCAGCTGGACCATCTACCACATTTACGAACAAAAAAGTTTGGAGTACAACACACAGAGAGGAAGCGTGACTTCGTTCTCTGCTCAGGACATCATTACTCCTTTATATTTTTCACACAGCTGCTGCTTTATTAATGTTCTGAATGTCAGAAACTGAACCTTTAACATTCATGCTTAACTTTATATTTCAACTAGGTCTATGTGTGATGTGAGACACTGTTCACTTACCTGCTATGAAAGTTGTAGATCTCGGGCATGTTTCCAAAGAGGATGTCCCTCTTGCTGCGCAGGATCGGGGGCAGGAGCCCTGACAGAGCTGGATTGTCCATCTCAGCCCTGTAACCCTGCAATATCAAATCACAGCAACACAATTAGGGAAATATATGGTTTGTGGATATGCAGCCTTACCAGAGTAACTTCACCAACAACAAACATATAGTTTTCTATTTTTGTGTGACATAAAAGTGTGTTTTCTCACCAGCAGCACTGACAGCAGCTCCTCCACATAGATCCTCTCTGTCTCTATGAGTTCCCTCATCACATGACTGTGACGCAAACATGCACACACACGCACATGGAGAAGAAGACATAGAGAGAGCCAGAGGGCATCATTAGCACTGAACAAAGAGAATCACAAAGTAAACAGCATCAAGAGCCATACAGAGGACAGACAGATGGGTGGACAGATGCCTCCTCCTCCTCACCGCTTCAAGAGATCTGGGCTGTCCTCTCCATCCAGGCTGTACAACACGCAGCTCCGGCTCTCCTGGTAGTCGTGGATCACCTCTATCTGAACACAGTTAGACAACAATGACTCCTTTAAGTGGATGTAGAGAAATTGTTCTTATACGGAACAAGTTATTGGACCAAACGGAAAAAGGTTGATAAATGAAAGGTTTTTATTTCGCCTTACCTTTCTGGGGTTGGGGCTCTTTCGGGATGCTCTCTTCCCAGGCAGAGAGAGGTCAAATGTGAACTTCAGACCGTCACCTGTAAGAGCCAGATCATCATTACACGCAGCAGCTAATCAAAGTGCTAGAGTATAATTCACACAGTATATTTCCATTTGCTCTGATGAAGCATACTGAAGAGAATTAATTAAAGCACCAACAATCAAAAAACATTATCATTTATGACTCTGTGGGATTTGCTTGCCCTTTCTATGACCTTCTATTATTCCTCAGTAACTTTAAAGAATCAATCAGTCATAATTGACATCTGAGGTAATCAATGCTAAGAGGGCTGATTCCTCTAAAGGTGCAGCCTGGAACCAGCATGTGAAGATCTAAAGCTGCGTTTGGCACGACTCTCAGTGTCTGTATGATCCTGGCAGCTGAATCCTTACATGGCAGTCCAAGCTCAGCTGACTGTTGTGCCCTTGCATGTGCCATGTTTCATTCATCAGTGGTACATATGCATGTAGGTGCATGCATGTGCATGCATATACATACTGTACATGTATGCATGTACCGGATCCAATCGTTCAAAGCTAACCACTTTCCCCTTCATCTCCTTTTTTAAATGGCTGCTGTCTCTACAGTATCACAGGGGGGTTCGTGATCACTTTCATTCTCTTTGTTGTTATCACTCTCATTAGTATGGCTGTATTTCATGGCAAACCTTAAAGACATGAATGGACATAAAGAAAAACCTGTTTTTTAGACTCAATGGAGACACATTCAGTAGCATGATAGACACATCAAATCAAAAGAAAAACACCAGATAACACATACAGTATTAATTAGGCAGCACTGTACTGTATACAGTGAGCTTTGTGCAAACTCCCACGAGACACAAAGGGAGATGAAAGCTTCTTTAATGTATATGAACCACATATGGCTCCATAGCTGCTATCCTGACTAATAGAGCAGTCAGGTATTTCCCAGCAGACTGATTATACCTTCTACCCTCACTCAGGCTTGTGAGTAAAGGTGGCCTGCTAACACCCTCAGTCCATTCAGGAACAACTTAGGCCTACTCAGTGGGACCCTGTGATGTGTTAATTTAGCTATGGTGCCTAAAGGAAAGATGCAAGGGAGTAGGGGTTGGTGCCAGGCCATAAGGGCTAGGACAAGACCCCATACTGGGCCTGGGAAACACAGGAGGGAGGGTAGGGAGTTAGTTGAAGACTACTGTGTGTGCTAAAAAACTGGGGCAGCAAACCAAAGACAAATTCTGTTTGATCAACTGCAACAAAGCCTCTTTCTACATGTGTGTATGCATGAGATGACACAATATCTATATCAGCTTTTCTTTTGAGATATGGTTATTGGTGTGTAGGCCCTATGTGTGTGTGTGTGTGTGTGTGTGTGTGTGTGTGTAGTGGCTAAGTAGTGAGGACCAAAACATGTTTTTAACCAACAGAGTGAGGACATTTTTGGAAAGTGAGGACATTTTGACTGGGCTGCACTTCTCCATAACTCTGTTTGAAGGTTAAGACTTGGTTTTAACGTTAAGGTTAGAATTAGGGTTCGGGTTAGGAATTCAGTTGCATTGTTGGGGGTAATGCATTACAAAAGTTACACATTACAGTAATATATTAGGTATTAGCAGTAATAAAGTAATATAAAGTGTTACCAAGAGGATTTCAATACATAGAAGAAGATGGGATATTCAACTGTCCAGTAGCTCATACAGAACAACAACCACACTTCATTGTTAATGGTTTTCATTTTTCATTCATCCACAATGATCCATACTGCTCCAATTCCGCCAACAGAGAAAAACATCCCCAAATATTGTTGTGTGTTGCCACTTCATCGATTATAAGCTACCTTATAGAAGGATGCTGGTGATCATGTGCGTTTTCATGTCCAGGTTATTTCCATTCATATACATACACTGCATCCCATCTGCATTTGCGTCCTAAGGCTGCTAGAAAGCAGTGTAGATAAGGAGCTGGCCTCTGGTTTGTTTTTTCCTTGTCCCAGTCATGGACAAATATAGTACATGTTGGATGTGTTTCCATTTAAATCCCCTACAACTGCAGAGCAACGCCAGCACACAGTCCCGTTTTTATGCATAACTCTCTCCGGTGTATTAATTTGTGCTCGTCATAGTGACTTGAATATTATAAATATTTATCTATATCTCCTAATTATCAAACTTTGATTCTCTGTCTGCCCGTCTCTGTGTCCAAGGCTATTCATTTATTTTAAATGGTCTAGGCTATTTAATTGTTCTATATAATCACGCTATTATTAATGTAAGCAGGGGATTTTAATACAATGAATGCATGAATTGGTCAGACCTGCAGCACTGGATTTGAAATGAACTGTGATAAACTGGAGCTTCTGCACTTTGATTAGCTGCTGTGAAACAACATTTTCTAAGGTTATTTTGGTGAAAGTAATGCAAAAGTAAGTAAGTAACTTATTACTTAGAGAGTAATATTGTTAAGTAACATATTACTTTCAAATAAAGATAACTAGTAATTTGTAATATATTACACTTTGAGAGTAACTTGCCTAACACTGCTTAGTTGTGATGGTTAAGGGTGAGGGTTAGAGGACTGCATTGGGATCGAGATCCAGACAGTAATTTCATGGGAGCAGGTGGTTTTAAATTTGCTACGGGTGGGTGGTTGCACTCAAAAATACAGTGCAGGTCCAGAGATTTGTTAGA